AAAACATAATGACATATCTACTTAATTAAAATATCACTTCATATATAAAATAAATTATTGAATAAACGATAAAATTTATTAATATAATAAATATATTTTACATGAAAATATAGGAATGTTTCGGTGAATAAAGTGTCAAATTTTGTCGGAAACAACATGCATGTTATGAGACAATATGTTATAATAATAAATTAAACTTAAAAACACAATTAAAAAATTATAAGAAAACAAGTTACTGATTTATTCATAAAAAATATAATAATAAATTGAAGTAAAAATCAAGATTATACAAAAATAGTAGGCAACCAGACAACACACTGAGCCGCTACCCCTTTTTGGATGATAAAATCATTCCTTTTAATTATTACATTCATTGTCTTAGGTGACACAATATTGTTATGCATGAACCTTTGTACTTCCTGTAAAAGATCCACCGCTTCTGGTGCAAGAAAACTAAAAATGTCAAAGACAAATGGTATAAAAGCATGTTGATTTTCATAACATGTTTCTCATGCTTGGCCACTTTACTTGAAGCGATTTTGAGAGTTGTCTGTCCCATAGTAAAACCTTCAATCCTTAGACCCGCCAGTAAGGAAACCCCGATTAAATCTACACATGCATGTTTCCCTCATGCTCATCAATACACCAAAACATCTGATGGCCTAAGAGTCGATCTCTCCTCCTGTGGGTCAGTCAAGAAATAAATAGGCGCCTATTTCTTTACAAGTACCCCTGCATGCCTAAATATATCAAATAGGACATCCCTAACAAAGTCATGTCGATATTTGAATCCTGGAAGCTCTTTGTAATGAATAATATGTTCCCCAAATATATCCAATCACGCCTTGCAGAATATAGGACAAACCTCCTCAATGGGAAATAAGGAAATCATAAACCGATATTTAAGGATAGTACAATACTCTACCAGGGACATATGTTGGTCTAGACCGTCAATAGGGATAACAAGGAGAAAATCTTGAGCATGTTGCGAACAGCGAAAAACAACTTTCTGTCTTGTGGTCATGTTAAACTTTACTTCCATATCCTAAACACTTTTACTAAAAAGGGAACTCGCCAAAACATGTTCTGCTTTAGGAGGGGCGATGTCCTTTCTAGTAATACCACTAAGGTCAAAATCAAGAATCATAACACTAAGACCATCCAAAGCTCTATCGAAATCAAGATCCATATCATATACCCTACTGTCTCTCAATATATGATCTTGTGACACCCAAGACTGGGCCCTATAAGCCACAAACGCGTATGAGGTTTTCTCTACTGGCGAGTACAAACCTAATCCATCAACTCTAATAGATAAAGAAGCCACCCACCACTAAAGGTCTCCGAAAAAAGGACATCCACCAACCACAATATCTTTAACCTTCTGTCATAACTCTTTATCAAACCAAATAGATGCTTTCTTCATCTCATTAGCTTGACATGTTCTACGACCAAAAAAGAGTTTGGCGATACCCATGAAAGAATAAAGTAGAAGAAGATCACTCTAAGGAACCCTAAGTTATGGCAGGAGATGCATGGGCTCAACAACCTGGTCTCTCTCTTCTTATACAACCCCTCGATAAAGCATTCATCTCGACTAACAGCTCTTCCAAGCAACTTTATCTCTAACATTGGCCTCCTAGTGTCTAAAGAAAATAACTCCCCATCTCCCGAAGTTTACTATCACCACACGAAGGCCAACAGATCTCAATTTTATGAATATTTAATATGAGCCCTAATCCTGGACTGATCTCCTGAATGATGTCAATGGTTTTATCCACCTCCTTAGAATCTCCTATGATGGTGCCATCATTGGGGTACCTAACATGAAGAAGAAGCTTACAGTTGTCACTTATCTTATGAATAAGTGGGTGTAACCCAAGGGCATAAAGGAGTGGCCCTAATTAATTATCTTGTTTCTTTCCAGTGGATGGCATGATATGTCCATGCCGGAGGAATAATTTTGCTTCCTGACCATAGAGAAACTCAACCAACAAGAAAATAGATAGGCATCTTACCTCACCTCTCGCAAAATGGTTGATTGATCTACCAAATTAAAAATATTCGTGAAATCTACAAGTGAGCATTGTCAAAGAGCCATCTCCATGTTGCTTGCTAAACACCCTGTTGGCACTATGCAAAATGGCATCAACATCACTCGATACCCCGATCCCAAACTGGAAGTCATTGAGATATCGTGCCACACCCTTACTGACCCCTTTCATCTCAACTTTGGATACCAACCGCCTCCAAATAAAACTCATAATAGTTGGTCGTATCCCACTATCATGCTTCAATAATAGTGTCATATGTGCTGAGGCAACAAACTCTGTCTAACTCATCGGCCATCTCCATCTCAACCATAAGTTAACAACTTGAGTTATTACACATAAGAGATCTCTAGACACAACAAAACATTCTCCAAACATGGCATCTAATAAATGTTGGTCTCGTAAAGCATCTCTACCACATGAAGTCCCTTTGGAGAATGACTTAATGCACCTAAAAACTATGTCAACTTCAACCACTAGAGAAGCTTTAGAGAACAACGTGGTAGGCAAGGAGAGAGATGGCTTATATAGGTGTTTAGCCTCCAAAGCCTTCATAGTATGTGTGCATTATAAGGGGCAATAACAGAGGAACCCAACACCTCCACAACTGCTGTGAAATGACTATCTGCAACCTTACGAAGGCATTGCTTGACGTTAGAGCTCACCTTTGCATATCTCTTGTCAATATGAACTTCCTCATGGCCCAACTTCTCTTGCTCAGGGCTACCGAACACACTATCAACTAACTTAACAAGACCATATGCATCCCTCCAAGTAGTTAAGCACTCCAGAATATGATGTTGTTGCAAGGTTTTCCTATTTCCAAATCTACAATCCTGCCTATTATGAGGTTGGACCACCTGTAAAGTGTAACGAGGAAGAAGTAGCAATCGAAACCAAGCACCTACAGATCCCGACTCGTCAACCACATTGAGGAGTGCATCTTTCAAAGCCTCAAAGAAAGCTAGAAGACATTTGAGAGATATGCTCTTAACAATTTGTGAAGACTCGCTCTGACAACCTTGCGTCCAAAACAATCCCCTCATTTGTATCAAGGTTATCAAAGTCTATTGCAGATGGTTTTACAATGCCTACAATGTGATTGTTGACCTACCATGTCCCAAGAGTAACTTGAACAAGAACATTGAGATGATGACACGCCTGACTCATGGCATGAATGCTCATACACCTTCCACATATCCATTGTCCAACTCCCCTTAAAGTCTCCTCGAATACCGTAAAGACGTTCAAATCATTTTCAATAGCTTCTCAAATTGTGTTTTTACGTTCGTCACTACATAAGTGTAGCGTCTTAAAATGAGACACCATATGAGAAATACCCTTACTCCCATCATTTCCATCAAGGCAACAAAATGGAGAATGCAAACCTTTTATCTTAGTAGAAATAACCATAGGACAATGCGAAATTGTGTTGATCCCCTACTCAATGCAAAATAAGGGTGGTTGATTTGTAGGCAGCACTAAAAGAGCATTTCGCTATAGTTGGAATGCGGCCTAAATCAACTCATTTGCAGCAGTAAAAGACTATCCTGAAAGACTTTTGATGTTCTAACCAAAAATATAGAAAAATGATTCAATATAGAGGTATGATTAATAATGAATCCTTGAAGATGGTTTGTTGGTGAAGAATGTTGTGTAATAATAGTAGGGATTGTTTTGTATTTAGTTTGAAAAGAATGAAAACGAACTAGTGATTTATGAGCAGTTAGTGGGTACAAATCATTGATCACCTGAAGCTATCTATTGGGAGTGAATAGTTGATTTAGAGAAAAAATTCATTTTTTAATTTACTTAAAAAAATGAAATTTAATAAAATGTAATAAATAAGTAAAAAAGTGAAAGAAAAAGAAATTACAATGAATTAATTTTCTAAATCCATCATGAACATAACGGACAAAACGGGTGACAGTTCGCATATTTAGTTGCGTGGCAACAAGTGGAGGAACTAGTAAAATAAAACACTTAACCAAACCAAGAGACTGAAAAGAGTTTGTCATTTTAGATGGAGCATGAGTCTCTCTATTACTCTTATACTTTGAAGAAGGAAACCGAACAAGTTATGTTTTGGAATAGGAAAGGATCCTAGCTCTCTCTTTTACTGTTCCTATTTGCAAAGCTTCGTAGACCGCATCAACACCAACGAGAAGCTTCCATGTTCTCTCTTTGAAGAAAGCAAGGTAAACAATATCATTCCTTTTTTCATAAATATTTGCAAATGATATTTTGGGTCTGTTGCAAAAAAAGGTTTTGATCACCTAAGAGAAATCTGTTGTTTGGGAATCGATGAAATATGTTAAACCTAACTGTTTACCTCTTTATCTACTACAGGATTCTTTTGTATGCTATATAGGCTATAGCCATAGTAGATTTTGATCATGGAAATGGTGAGGGTTTTAAAGATGGTTAGCTTAATACAGCTCCTATGTTGCAAATGGTGAGGGTTTTAAAGATTGTTAGCTCTCCTCTGTTGCAAGGTGAGTTTTTATTCATGTAGATTGGGATACTTTAGTTGTTAAAGGTGACTGACTGGGTATCAGACTGAAGTCCCACATCATCTACTTAGTAAAATAACCTATGCTCCTTACATATAAAACAAAAGGACCTCTGAATGCTTCTACTTACGGAGCCGTGTGATGATGACATAGCGAACTATTCTTTCGCCTTTTACTAAAGAATACCGTGTCAGCGTCACAATTTGCGGCATACGCTAGTTTTTGGAAGAGTCCTCTTCATTGAGGGCTCTGCAAATTTAGTTTAAGTTTATCAATTTTCATTCATGATGATTCTTCAACTCTTAAATTCAACAATTTGTTATTACCAACTATTCCTGATTTTTGTTTGTGCTTAGTTTTCAGGAGACTAGTTTGAGTATTTCCCATGAAACCAGATGTCATATTGGTGTATCCTTCAGTCTTCTGTGTTAAGTTATTTTACTAAATAAAATTGAAATTTCCTATTCTGTAAGCTTTTTTACCCTTTTCATATCATGCCTTCTTGTTACTGTTCAGGTTGGTAAGATATTTTTGAATCATAATCTTTCTGTTTTCTTGTCACTTTACAAGTGAGAAAACAAGATTAAGAATTTGTTATGCTGGCCTTTAGACAAATCACTTAGCAGATGCTTCAACTTTAGACAAATGGAATAATAGAAGAGACTCTTAGACCCCTTCGATACCGGTGGATTGATGATTGACTAATTTTTAAATGCTATTAGTTGTCTCCTTCCCACTGAAGTTGTTACTTTTTATACTCTAAGTGAAATACAGTGATTGGATAAAACGTTTGAAATCTTGACATGTTCGGCAGTGGTTTGGTTTGTACAGTCTGTATGCTTAATCATTCTGTTTGAAAAAGTTAAATTAATCACCTTGTTGTGCAAAAAAGACTACTGTTTGTTTCATCTTTCTTTGGAATTTGCTTAGTGCATGAATGGTCTGCTGACCTGCGTCTGTACACTGAGGTAAAGCCTCTGTCTTCAACAGGATTCTTTTGTAAGCTATAGCCATGGTAGATTTTGATCAAGAAATTGGCGAGGTCTGCAAAGACTTAAGATAAAAGATGGAATAAAACGTTGTCGCTGGATATAACAAGGATGTAAGTAATAATGGGATAAGAAAATTCCAGTTAATCAATATTAAAAAAATTAGGCTAAAATTGTAGGACTTTACCCATAAGGGAGTCCTTACAGAAATTCTCAAAGGCTCAAGTTGAACCCAAGCATAAGAGGGGGTTTGGAAATAGTTTTCAACCAGCAATAGACGCGCCTCGGTTAGAACCTCACTAGCTGCGTCATTGCCCCAAGCGCAAAGATGATATACAATATAGGCTAAACTTCTTTTTATATAACTTCAAACTCATATAATTCCTCTCATTAGCAATACGGGACTAGCAATATCTGATGCCTAACGCCCTGTTCAGCTGTTGCATGCTCTTTGTGTATGTAACGCCTTCAGTTTCTTGGTTTTGATCTTTTGTCCAAGGATGCTACGTACTGTATATTCTAGCTAGCTCGGCCATCCACCATGCTCATATAACAAAGTGTATGAACATAATATCGGTTTTTGCATTTTGATGGTTTTGCTATATATACTTTCTTTTAGAAAATTTGGTATCCGGCTTAAGGATCGACTAATCCGAAAGGCTATATGTATGGGAGGCTAGAACTCCACATACTTAGGATATGTGCCAAAGTTGGAAATATGCACATACAATCATAGTATCCTAGTAGTTCTGCTGTACAGTAAGGGTACACAATTTTTTGAAGCAAATCGGAGATGTGGTGCAGTCCTATTAGTTCTGATTGGATTATTAATTTTCCCGAGTTGAATATATATTTTCATATACTAATTGTGTCTTGGTTTTGGATTTCATTTGTTTGCTTCTTCATCTTGATTTTCTGGTGGTGGAGACAAGTTTTTGATTTATATAGGACATAAATTTGTTGTTTCTATTTGATTATATACAAATTGACTGTGCAAAATTGTTTCTAGTGTTGGCAATCAGCAAACCACATTAGTCATCAATTATCTGTCTCCTCTGCTGCCACATTACATTCATCATTTGTTTGAGGTTCATGATGAGTATAAAATTTGGTGATGTTTAATGCTTCTTGATTACATGGCACTCTTGCATACACAACCAATTTGTCCATTACTTTGTTCTAGTAAATGTAAATTGCTATTAAATAAAAATTATATATAATTGCTATTGTTGTCCTGTGTAATAAAGCATGTCTGGCACAGATGTGACGATACAACCAAAAATTTAAGGAAAGCTCGTGTAGCTGAATACATTTTCTTCTCGAAGTAGTAACGAAGTTCATCAAATTATTGAAGATGGGTGGAGAATTTAAAGTGAGCGAGCATAATCCCCAAACAAAGGTCATTAGAAGAAGTTTAACACTAGAGTGGAGGGGGCTGCGCGAACGCAGGCCCCCACAGCAAGAAATTATGATGTAGGCTCCACCACTTGGGCAGACCTTAGGGTAGCACTCATCCTATGTGCAATGGAGGTCACTTGCCTAGGCCATGGACCTTCTTGATCATCCATTGACCCCATCCAGGTAAGTATGTTGCAATGTACCACACACATTTCTTTTATACCTCATGTTCCATACTATTCACTCTAACAATTCCGATGTGGGACTTATCATCACATACTGCACACTATTATACCTGCATTACATCGTACTTTGGCAAGCTGTACGTATCTATCTACATGCTCACATGCGAGGAATTTTACACTAATTGTCACCTCCATTAGAATCCAAATAGACAGTTTATATAATCATATTGCAAATGTTGAGTTCAGATAATTTTTGCAGAATTGTTGATATGTGTTTCAAGTTATGACAAAAATAGTTAAAATTGGAATTTGTGAATTCTTGCAGAATGTGAATATACTAGTTGTGTAGAAATCTTCTATTGTCTAATTCAAAAAGTTGTTGTGGAAATAGTTAATACATTTTTTTGCTTCTAGATCTCATTTTTCTTTCTGTTTTTTGAAATTTAGAGTCCAACTCCTTGAATGCCTAGAGGATCAATTTAACTCTTGCATTTGAACTACCTTGAATGCTTACATGAGTTGAAGAGTGCAATGGTGTTGAATGTTATTCATGTGTTGATTATTGAGGTTTTGTAATTTTATTTATTTTTTGCTTTAGTTGGTCTAATTGTGCCTTTTGAGCCCACTATGATAAGTTTCTTTCAATGAAAGATGTTAGAAATACATCTTAACAGTAGCACACAACATTTAATTATATAATTTTAGAATTTTCATTAACTCTTCTTATTTGATCTCTAATATCCTTTGGCATACTCCATCTCTACCATTTTCTCTCTTCTCTCTCTGCCTCCAAACCTAGCGCCGCCGAAACTCTGTGAAACAGAAGACGAAGCGAACTCACAACCACGAAGATCTTCGTCTCTGATTCTATGGTATGGTAGAAACTCATCTTCATCCCTTCCAAATCTCCTACTTTACCATTATTTTTGTTGCATCATCAACTCAATGAAAACACTACAACCGTTATCTCCTATCTTGCTTTATTTTCAACATCGCTGAAGCTAACTCAAGGTATGTTCCTCACGATTTTCCATTCATTTTAGTTTTTATGTTGTTTTGGTTTTCATGTTTTGATATCTTTGATTTTAACTATTTACATGTTTATCAACTATTCATCAACTGCGAGCTTCATCCACAGGGAAACATTTGAGAAAGGTACGTTGAATCCATTTCGGATAATCATGCGTTTCTGCATTTCGTGTAACCCATTTTTGTTTTTGTTGAATTATTGTTTTCGTTGACCGTTGATTTTACGTTTTTCGTTTTTGTTGTCCAACAAAGATTACCTTAGAACCCCCCTAACAAATAAATTTTGTTTCAGAATGACTGTCATTTTCACTTTTCAATGTAGTAATGATTACTATTTTTCCAATTATGTCCTTTACTTTTTACTCTCTACACTACTTCCATTACATTAATAGAGTTAATTTTGTAAAAATGTAACGTCTTATGACAACATCATTGCATTCCTTAATTTGTGTACAAAAACCTTAAACGACAGTCATTTTGAAACAGAGAGAGTAATGTTTAGTGCAGTTTGTTAAAACTGAGATGGGCTTAAAGGTGGATCCCAATTTCCTTATTATAATGGGGGGCTTTATACCTATGGAAACGGTGGTGAAAGGTAAGTCTACATATCTTCTTGTTATTTGGCGTGCATTTGCTAAAAGAGTGTGAGTGTTTGTACTTCGTAGACTCTTAATTCACAATAAAGATGAGTAATGTGTTTGATATAAGAACAACTTAGAAATAATTTATATTTTGTATCATAATACACACATTGGAATACCATTTAAAGCAGAAATGAGAATTAGTACAAAGCCCGTTTCTTCAATAAATCAAACTTCACTCACCTCTAGCTGAGCTTCAAATTAACAGGCGTATTTCCTGAGGTTTAAGATAAAAAAAATACGCATCATGAGAACATTTACGAAGTTAAAAATACACATGATGATTATAATGTCCCTTAGTTTTTTTTTACAGATGAATGTCCTTGTGTTAATAATTTAGTGATTGTCTATATGTTTATCATGTATATATAAATTTTGATGTGAAAATGTGTTAACCTCTCAAGGTACTTTTGAGATCATCATGGATGAGAGTCAATTCGATGGTTGCCTAAGGATTACTAATCGCCGAGGTCTGGAGTATTAGCCAACCTCATCAGAAGAAGCAAAGTACACGATACGTTCTACACTTCTTAGGAGAAGAACTGAATACAAAGCTCCATCAATTAAATTACCCGAGAGTTTTGAGAAAATATGTGTATTTCAACTCTACAGGAAAGTAAGGCAAAGGATGATTCTCATATTTTTTTCATGACAATGTAAGGCCTTTTATGATATAAATGTTGTCTTCCTAACTATTTTTTCCATTTATGATATAAATGTTTACTTTATTCAAAATTTTAAAATGCTTTGAAGTTGAATAAAGTCACTTGAATACAATTACTATATTGATAGATAGATATATGAAGCTCTGCTGTCAATTTATTTTGAGTTTGGTGCTGTTATACTTTAGCCAAGTTGGAACAAGCAGTTTTGACTCAAGAACCATTTTGACCAATTGGTTAAAGAAACAACACTAATAAAACAGTAGTATCTTAGATATGTAATGGATATCTTCTCATGCGAAAGTTCAATAACATATAGGATCAAACCTTCAATAACAAATATACTACTTAGATCTTTAATTCAATTAAGTCTTATATTAAGTAGTTTTACTTTTTATATATGTAGTATTGTAATTTAGAGAGCCTATATTGATCAGCTCATTATGTTAATATTGATGAATCTTTGAAATTACACTGTTTGTTTTGTAGGTACCGTCGCCGCGAATTCACTATTAATTTCCATTTGTAACATATAGCATGTTGATTGCTCACAAAACAACTTGTCACACCTACAACATTCATCAAAGACTTCTCAGTCATTGGCAGCATAATATTCACACCTACCTAGGTATACTACTTGATACATATTTGTTATGGAAACACTACATAATTTGTTATAGCATGCACAAATTCTATAGTGAATAATTTTCAACTTAAAGCATTTGGGCTGCTAATGGAAACACTGCATTAAGTCGATTTGCAAATACATTCAAATATGTCCATCAATGATTATACAAATGCTATGCTACATTGATCATCATTATATTGCATTGTAATCTCTTGTTTAATATTAACTATCTGCAAATTTGTTTATAAAATGATAACAACAATATCAGACAAATTTACCCGTGTTGGAGTACCAGTATGTTACTAGTACCTGATAGAATATTCAATAGTAAAATGTGTATTATCATATTCTGTAGTTATAGAATCTCATAAATGAATGAATAAAACCTTTTGATACATAATCTCATATTTTTTGTCCTATTTTCTAGAATTATTACTTATGCATAACTTTGCTCTCCTTATTAAATTAAGGCTAAACTACAATTTTTGTTTCCCTGTTATGTCCTACTTATGGAATTAATCTTTCTATTTTATTTTTAAATAATTTTGACTCCTCCCATCTTCAGTTTTGATTCAAAAAATATTGATTTGTGAAATTTTTTCACACGTGGCACTTTTTAATTTTTTAATATCCACATCATTTTGTAAATTTATTATTAATTAATATTCTTTTATCCACGTCATTTTGTAAATTTATTATTAATTAATATTCTTTTATAAAATACATCTTTAATAATTATTAATTATTTAAAAGAAATATTTATTTGAAAATTTATTCATGCATATTTTAAAATACTCCATTTGTTTCAAAATGATTATCTTAAATAAAGGGAGTAACTTAAGTTTGTGTTTGTTACGTAAACACTAAATGTAAATATAACAAAATCGATGTGAGACTCAAGACCAGAAACATGCACTCATCAGTAGAATGCTTTAATACGTAAAATATATTTACATTGACTCATCAATAATGTCTCAGTACTATCAATAGTAATTTGTTCGGGTGAAATAAGAGGTCTCTGTTTAGCAAACCCTCTTCACATTCTTGAACTTTTATGTGCCCCATATTATCGACTTATCAATAATGTCTTAGCACTATCGATAGTAATTTGTCCTAGTGAAATAAGAGGTCTCTGTTCAGCAAACCCTCTTCACATTCTTGAACTTTTATGTGCCCCATATTACCGATATTTTCATGATAAAGTAGTGGCTATATCATTAAGAACTTCTTTTTGTTGTGTGCTAGCAGCCAAAGTTGAAGTATATAATGATGATATAACTTATTACCTATGTTTTTGATTGAATTAGTAAGAAAGAGAACATGTTTTCAAAGAGATATCTAAAATATTTCAAAAGTGTAACATAATGTGAAATGAAGCCACAAAAAGTGTATTTTCTGTATCAACTCTCAATCGGTAATAATATCACCATCACCTGATTAGAACACTTAAAAGATATAGAATACTATTGCAACAAGAATCCACATAGAGTCAAATTATAGTTAACATAAGAAATAAACCTGATAGTCTATGGCATACACGATTGACTAGTTGGTGCATGAATGAAAACAATTACCACCTGCTGCTTTGTTCTCATACACTAAAACTTATGCCAATGCTGCTACATCTTTGAAGTCTTCGTATGTTTCAAATTGCACTGTATCATTCAGGGAACAAAAATGCTTATGAAAATACTTTAGCATAATCAAATATATAACAAGTATTAAGAGAAGCAAAGTATTGTAGCTTAACCTATATAGTTGTTAATGCAACAAGTATTTATCATCATATAATGCAAAAGTGTATGACAATTAGTCAAGGTAATCTAGTTTTTCATCAGAACCAAATTTAAAGATTTTAGATGTGTTTTCAATTCATTAAAAATACAAAATAATTGTAATAAATTCTTGAACTTTCCTGTGTCCCCTATTACCGATAATCACGACATTGTGCTTCCTATCTTATATATTGTTTCAATATTTTTCAGATGTAGATAATAGTTTTGTTTTGGAGGTAATGAATCTTTGTTTGGATGATGGAATGGAATGCAAGTTTTGGTATTATATATAGGAGAGAATGAAGAGTGTGTTGGAGTGGTCGTGAGAAATGTATTCCACATCAGTTTTTTTTTATAATTACATTGAATCTTTATATAATGAACACAAACTTTTTTATATAATATTAATTAATAATAAATTTTTGAAATGATATGAAATTTTATTACACATCGGAGCATTTTTTGAATCAAAACTGAAGATGGAACCAAAACTCATTTTTTGAATTAAAATTGGAGATGGAACCAAAACTGTTTAAAAATAAAATAGGATGACTAATTTCGTGAGTAAGACATAATAGAGAGACCAAAACTATAATTTAACCTTAAATTAATTGAGAACAAATCTTATATCTTTCATATCAATTTTTATTTTGTTTCAACATAAGAGTTTTTAACCTTGAAATGTAGTGGAGGAGAAAAACGGGAGATTTAAAATTAGTAAGCAACTTTGACAAAGTTTTGATTCTAATTGTTTGTAAACGACACAACGGCCTAAGAAAATTGAGATCAAATGGTCATTACTAGTTGATATATAATCAATGGGAACTGCAATGAGTACTAGTTGAGCTTTAAACAATGGAAGAAAGATCCAATGATCTAGCTTGATGTCAACTCATTTTTATAAATTGTGTTGAGTCGACATCAAGCTCAATGCAAGAAAGATCCAATGATTGTGCTCTATTTAAGTACCACCAGTTTTGAGCATAAACGATTTAATTAATAATTTATTTTATCCCCTTCATTCACAAACCGACTTAGGCAATGGAGTGTTGACCCTTGTAGGTTCATTTTGCGCAACCGCACCAAAATAACTTGCACCACCACATCAAAGATCTCCACCAATAAATTTGATTCTCGAACAGAACAATAGTGTCGTCTGTGTGAATTAACTTTTGATTCCTATGAATTTTCACAATCAGATCTCTTATTCGATTAGATCTCTCATGATTCAGTCATATTTCCTGCAATTCAAACCCCAATCGCTTTGACTGATACGCTAAGATGGAAGCAACTTTAAATCTCTTCCAGAAGATCCTTCAAAAATTTCCAAATTAAGATCTTCGTCAACCTTCGCCATAAACACGATCGATGAAGATTCGTTCGGACAAGTAGAGTCTCCACTACAAAAATATATTTAATCAGCCTCCCTAAGCAAGAAGTAAAATGACGATAGACAAATCCTAGGTTTTCAAAAATCATGAGAAGGTGGAGGAAATTTTTGTTATTGTTATTCATCATTGTTGTCATTGCTAATCATTTTGTCGCATGGATCCTTGTACATGATGGAAGTTTCTGCACTCTGATATACTTTAGAATTTTCACCGAGCTTGGCCCGATGGAAGAAGATTTGATGCCATACGAAGGCTAGAGCCTTTTGGCATTTAATGATTCTTCTACTTGTCTATGTAAACAGATGTACTTATCGCTCTTATTAGGAGAAAAAATAATAAGAGGATGGTTGACACTTGTTTCTTCGTGGTTCCATGTGAAAGTGTATGTAATGAAATCCTCATCCCATCATTCTTAGCTATATACATCGTGACTTCCCGCGTCCATTAAAGATAAAGTATAACAGTGATTTTGGAAACCTATTATAGATAAAGCCAACCATCTTGGAACATGTAAGATACGAGAAGAAATATTGAAGAATCCCTTAACAATAATTGTCATCCTTGAAGTAAGAGTTGTGGAAGCTGATAGAGCAAAGAATATAATTGACCTCAACGCTAGTGAAGAAGAAACTTCATTGAGATACGAGCTAGGTCCCTCAATATCAATCAAAGTAAAGGTCTTAATACTGATTTTGGATGTAGCTTCGAGATCGTCCAACTAGACGATAATTCGATGAGGTCAGTAAGTATAGAAGTCGACATATATACCTGCAAAAGTAAAGGATATATTAGTTAGATGTTTGATGGCTAACATTGATCTCTTCGCCACATCTCCCCACAGGATGCCTGGAATAGATCCTAGTGAACATGATTCTAACAACTTTGAACAAATTCATTTTTAAGTCAGTGCGAGACGCTCTCCTCTTTTACTAGTTGTTGGAGAAGGAATAACTTTTAGATTGGACTCATGAATGCTAAAAAGCGTTCACATCCTTGAAGATGGGCTTGTCAAATCAACACATGCTATCTTAACCTATTTGAGGAAGACATTATTGTCATAAAAAACTATAAAATATGCTCAATAACATATTCATAAAGAATCAACATTCAGAATCATACACCATTCATAAACCTATTTTCCTAAATTAAGTGATATCTTTACTGGAGTAGGCATCTTTGTTTAAGATGGACATAGTCTTGTAGTAAGTCCAACAACATTCTTTGTAACATTTAATCTGGCAGTAGGATATACGGATACAACACTTGTTGATTTCCTCCTAACATTTAACTCCTTTGTCTTTGCATGACTTCCATGAATTGGTTGACTAGTTTGAGTTGCTTGATTATCCTGAGTTTGATGAGTTGCTTAATTGATTTAAATTGGATGATTAGCTTGAGTTGCTTGAGTTTGTTTACTGGAAAATGATTTCCTTTAACATGTTTTTGGGATACTTCTTCCTAAAGTTGTTGTACAAGTGTCTCAAACAAAAACTTTGCTCGACACCTGATAGAATGTCACCCATAGTAGGTAATAAACTCTGTAATACAAAATAAATACACGATTAAAGTGAAATTAACACAAATAAAATATAACTACCTTTTTTATCAGATATGGAAGTTTGGATACAACACTGAGAACTACCTCCAAGTCATCAATCCTAATTTCCAAAAACCATGTCAAACTTGTAAGGATAATATTCAGTTTTGCATCTGGCCTTGAGTTTTGATGATAACA